ATGAGTTTATATGAACAGGTTTGCCAATGTGTCTTTATTAATGTATTGCTGGGTTCAATAATTAATATCCATTTGGGAAATATTTATGTATGTAAGTGAAATGGCTTTATAATTCTGGGGATTTGCTGTGTTTTGGAATCTATACAGATTTTAAAATAAATTGGAAATTAATTCCATGTCTTTCTATATCCTGCAGCAATTTTGAAATTTTCTGTTCTTAGAATATTTCTATAGGCTGCTTTCTGAATTAGGAATATTGGGGGAGCATAGCTCTATTAAAATTTTTTAATCCAGGCTTGGTGGCTCAGCCTGTAATCCCACGCTTTGGGAGGCTGAGGTGAGTGGATTGCCTGAGCCCGCGGGTTCGAGACCCGCCTGGGCAACTTGGCGAGACCTCATCTCTACAATAAATCAGAAAATTAGCTGGGCGTGGTAGCACATGCCTATAATTCCAGCTACTTTGAAGGCTGAGGCGGAAGGATTGCCGGGGCCCAGCAGGTCGTGGCTGCGGTGGCCGGGAGAGGCCACTGCTCTCCAGTCTAGGCAACAAAGTGAGACTCTAACTCAAAAAAAAAAAAAATTTAAATTTTATCAAATTTGGAGATCTTTAGCATTTTCTTAGCAATTTGACTGTGTGTATGTGCATTATTTCTATTTATAATTATATATCCATATTATTATGTGTATACATGCATTCATATCAAAAATAATTTTTAAAATTATCCTCATTAAAATTTCAAACTATGTCAATATAATGTCAAAATAACCTCCCATACTGCAAATATTTTGCTACTCTTTTCATATCTGTAATTAGATCATTTTTTCTATTCTTAATGATGTTTTGTGTCTTCCCCCCCCCCAACTCTTATTAGCAAAGTCAGAGTAGGCCTATTTTGTTTCAATTTCAAAAAAACCCACTCTTTAAATATTCGATCCACTATTTTGGAGTCCATGAATATCTATTTAAATTCACTGAAGCCGAATGTAGCCTCTCACAACTACACTAGCTGGTACACTGATGTCAATGGGTTTCTAGAACATTTACCTAGAAGGGGGAGATTATACTACAAGGGGCCTACCCTCCAAAAGATAATTTCAGTTTTGTGGGGGTCTCCTTGTAAGTTTGCTTTTGGATATTTTTATAACTTATTGAGTTGTAGTTTGCTTTATATCACATGTTTTTCTATAACAATTACATTATTAGGTGCTATAAAATTTTTCCTTGGTAGATCTTTGGTTACACACAAAGACTTTCAAAAATACATTTAATTTAATGCAAGTTTGAGCATTCTTTCTTCTAAGCACTGGTTTTAGCATACATTAAAGTATTTCAAATTCTCTGATTTAGGTGTAAGCCTGTTATTGTTATTTTAGAGTTTTAATATATCCTAGCCAAAAAACTAGATCGTCTTATGGATTGTATCATCTTAAATTATAGTCCACATATACTTGTTACTTGTTTTGTATCTTTTTAATTTTGTCCTTTTTATGTTTTGCTTTCTTTAAAAAGCAAACCTGTCCTTTAAAAGGGGATTTCTGCCATGCATAATGTTGTAGCTATAATTAGCATAGGTGTTTTCTAGCTAATCTCATTTTATGTTTTGCTTTACTCTCCTGAGCTACTATATTATACATTTTTTTCTTTCATATTTTCACACATGCCAACGTATGAACATACACACACATATTTGTAACTGATCTTAATACTGGCAACAGAATTTTTTGGTGCACTTCAAAATTGTCCTTATTCTTCTAGTTGTCTTTGTGTTGACATCATAAGTAAGAATCTATCTTTTCTAGCTCATTTACTGACAGAAATTTGTTAGATTATTGAAGATGGCATATGTATTTATTTCTCATTAGTCCTTTCCCCTGTATGAAAGGGAACATTGTTGATGGTGTCATCAACTTCTAGAACAAAACCTGGTGAGGAGGTGGATCACAATAAATAACTGAATGAATAAAAATAAACAAATGAAGGCAACTTTCTAGTACTTCCTAATTTTCTATTCTATGTCAATGAAATGTGTTATATGTAGATTAATCGCATTCCATTTTCAGAACTTGTTTATCTATTATCTATATATAAATTTAAAAAAATTTTATTCTTTTCAGTTTTTATTGATAATTCTCTTCCATTTGTGAAATCATATTTTTAAAAACCTTGATTATTTGTTTTGCTTTTGCAATCTCATTACTCCATTTCTCTCATTTTCTTTCTTATTATTTAATATCTGTTTTTCTATATTCCTGGAGAGTTACTTAAGTTTTATCCTCTACAACTGCAGTTCAATTTCATGTCATCGGCAATGTTTTGTGCTGCCTCTCTTATAACTTCTCATCCTAGAATGATGTTTTGTTTTGTTTTGTTTTATAAGGATGTGGGGTACAATTCAGGATTAGGTATACAAGTGGTCATTGTACAGTTAAGGTTTGGGCCTCCATTTTGTCCACACTTCACCTGGTTTGAGATCAGGTACCCTTATTGATGTCATGTGGCTCCCCTCCCCACCAGCGGTTTCCAGCTATTACCAATCCCCTTCTTACAGTATTATGGTAAATGTTCAGGGTCCACTTATGAGTGAGAACATGTGGTACTTAGATCTTTTGAGTATCATAGACTAAATCCATCCAAGTTGCTGAGAAGTCCATAATTTTGTCCTTCTTTATGACTGTGTAATATCCCATCATGTATATGTATCATATGTTTTTTATCCAGTCCAGCTTTTATGGGCAGCATGGTTGGTTCCATGTTTTTGTTATTGTGAAAAGTGCCGCAGTAAACATGTGTGCAGTGCAGGTATCTTTTTTGTAGAGTGATTTGAGTTCCTCCAGGTATATTCCTAGAAGGGGGATTGCTAGGTCATATGGAAGGTCAATTTTTAGTACTTTTAGGAATTGCCACACTGTTTTCCACAGAAATTGAACTAGTTTGCATTCCCACAACAGTATAGGAGTGCTCCCTTTCTCCACATCTTCACCACATCCTTGTTTTTTTTTTAGAATGATGCTTTTAATTAACATGGGTAAAGTTGTGTGCTAACCTAAGAGCTTGTTCACCCTCCTCAAACTGTCCCCTAGTGTTGTGGTCTTTCCCTATTCCCCTTGGTTTTGCTGTGGGCCCCTTCTAATTCAACAGGCCAGCCAGCACTAGGAACTTATTAAATGAGATGACACCCTTTCTGAAGAAGCTTCATTGTGGAAGAACAGGGGGGTCTTTCACAAAGTAGTAAGCAAAACTGTTCACATCTGAACTTTTACTCAAAAACTGGAAAAGCTGCCTAAAACCCTTAGTGGTTTCTTGTTGCCCTCTGGCCTACCAGATCCTTTAGACGTTTTATTCACTCACCATCTCTAAGGCTTAAACTGATTGACCAAATCAGAAAATTTTTGATAGTGAAAGAGGGTGAGACAGATGAGACATTAGGACAGACAGCACAGCCTGGATTGCCCCAATCTAACCTAGATGTAGGTTCCCCTCTTGTAAAGCCTTCAAGACCCACACAAATATAAAATCAAGCAAAACAAATCATTAACTCAAATATACAAAAAGGGCACTTCAAAAATATCAGAATAAACACACGCTAAATGTTAAATAAACTGTTATATGTTTTCAACTCAATTCTACTGATAATAGAAAAAGCAGATAAACTTTTGGCCCACATGCTTTGAAGAACTACACACTGATCTCTCATTGTCCCCTTCAGTTGCAGTGCTATTCCTAAACTTACTTTTGTTCCCTGAGTATTCTAAGCTCTGTGATGCTTTAAGGATCCTACATTTGCTATTTATCTTGTAGGAATACCCTTCTCCCAAATCTTCACATGGTTGCTCATTTGTCATTTTTCATTGCCTGTACTAAAGTTTTCCTCAAAGCATTTATTGACATTATCTGAAAATCCAGATCCTCTTTGTTACTTGCTTTCCATTCTTGTCTCATAACTAGAATGTAAGACACAGTAGACATATTAGCTTTGTTTACTACAGCATCCACAGAGCTTAGGACCCGGCACAAGAGTCTCTTCATAAGTAAACATTTGATGTGTGAATTAATGAAATCAACAAATGAGCGAAGGAACAAATAGGAATCATTAATGATCAACGGATAAAGTGGCTCTGTTTACTGTAGTTTACTGTAGTTTTCAGTTGTTTCTGCAATTAATAGTTGTTTCTAGATGAGACTGATCAGTTTTAAAATTATCACAAACTCACAATTTAATTAAACGTCTTACCAAATTGCTATATTTAGTTATTCAAATTCTTTAATCAATTTGAATTGCTTGAATCAATTACAGTTGTATCTATGTTTTAAATAAATAGAACCAACTCCAAGTGAAGGATTCTCTCCAGGGCCTCAATAACAACTAAAATCCCTTAAACCTAGAATCACTTAGCGGTCATAGGCCATGAGTGCCAGCAGCACTGGCTGTAGTACAATTTAACTGGGATATGACAATTGCCAAATATCCATCCATCTTCAGGTCATGGAAACCTAACCTTGGAACTGCTCTTCACTAAGAAGAAATAGCCAAGGAGGAAGACTACAAATCCACCCTACCAAAAAATAAAGCTTGATATTATATATACAAGTAATTTTAATTTACTAATGCTAAAACAGACTTTTATTTTAGTTGGGGTTTCACTCTGTCTCCCAGACTGGAATGCAATGACACAATCATGACTCACCGCAGACTCAACCACCTGGGCTAAGGCGATGCTTCTCTCTCAGCCTCCCAAGTAGCTGGGACTACAAGCATGCACCACCATGCTCAGCTAATTTTTTTCTTAATGTTTTTGTAGAGATGAGGTCTCTTTATGTTGCTTGCCCAGGCTGGTCTCAAACTTCTGGGATCAAGTAATCCTCCCACTTTGGCATCCCAAACTACTGGGATTACAGGTGTGGACCACCATACCTGGCCTAGACAGACATTTTTTTAATGATTCATTTTCTCTCTTGTGATGTTCATTAACACCTATGCCTCCAGGTCTAACTTAACACCATGGATGAGAACAACAGGACTGTCTCCAGTGACTTCACTCTCGTGGGGCTCTTCACTCACAGTAAAGCCTCAGGCTTCCTTTTCAGTGTCATTTGTGCCATCTTCTTCATGGCCATGATAGCTAATGGAGTCATGATCTTCCTGATCCATGTAGACCCCCATCTCCACACCCCCATGTACTTCCTCCTCAGCCACCTCTCCTTTGTTGACATGATGTACATTTCCACCATCATGCCCAAGATGCTGGTTGATTATCTGGTGGGTAGGGGGACCATCTCCTTTGTCGCCTGTACAGCCCAGCACTTTCTTTACATGACCTTTGTAGGGGCTGAATTTTTCCTGCTGGGTCTCATGGCCTACGACCGCTACGTGGCCATCTGCAAGCCCCTCCACTACCCCGACCTCATGAGCCAGCGGGTCTGCTGGATGATCCTGGCCAACTCCTGGCTTGGTGGTGCTTTGGACAGCTTCCTCCTCACCCCCATCACCATGAGTCTCCCATTCTGTGCCTCTCACAAGATCAATCACTTTTTCTGTGAGGCCCCCACCATGCTGAGGCTGGCCTGTGGGGACAAAGCCATCTATGAAATGGTGATGTACGCTTGCTGCATCACAATGCTGCTGATCCCCTTCTCTGTGGTGACAGCATCCTACACCCAGATTATCATCACTGTGCACCAAATGAAGTCGCTGGAAGGGAAGAAGAAGGCCTTTGCCACCTGCTCGTCACACATGACTGTGGTGACGTTGTTCTATGGGGCTGCCCTGTACACATATATGCTTCCCCAGTCCTACCACACGCCAGTCAAAGACAAGGTCTTCTCTGCCTTTTACACCATCCTCACCCCCATGTTGAACCCTCTCATCTACAGTCTGAGGAACAGGGATGTGATGGAAGCCTTGCAGAGAGCTATGACAAGAGGTCAAGGGACCTGTGGTGTGAGGAGCAATTAATTCAGTCAGTCTAAAATCTCCACGTCTGTTTTGGAGTGCATGGGGTTGCCCCACGGATAATATGGATTACACTGGCAGCAACCACCAATGCCAGTTGTACTGAATAGTACTTCCATCAAAAGTGAGAACGCCACTGTAACATTCATATACAAACAATGACAGTTCCACAAACGCCATTTGTGTTTATACCTGTGTTTGTTTTCTCTAATTTCAATTCTTTTCTCGTACCTCCTCTGTGAATGCAATTAATGTACATGAATAGCCCAAAATGTCTGGTTAATATTACATACTCATGTCTATTGTCAGTGGCCTCCAGAGAACTGGTGATTTTGACTGCATTGTTTCAACTATCTGTTGAGGGAGTTTATGGAATGTTTAGTGAAGCTGACATTTGAAAGACATAAAAAGAAGACTTGATTGTCATAAAACCTCAGAAGGAGTATCTACATAAACTCACATTAGAATTTAGAAAATCCAGATCTCTTCTTTGAGTAACAACTGAAAGCATTCCTCCTTTCACTTAAATTGGGACCTGAGAAAAATGACTCATGGGTTTTGATGAAATGCCAAGACTAAACCTTTATAAGAGAAGGATTCTTTTTTTCTTCTCTTTTAGAGAAGGATACTATTATATAATTTTTTTAAGGTAGCAGGAAATTGTTACCATTGAATATACAATGAAAAGTTCACAAAGAAGTGGTTTATTCACTAGCAATTTCTCTAATTATTTTTCAGCTGTTTCTCCAATGTGTTAGAGTTATTAGACTTCTGAAATCACCATGTAGAGATTAGTGGAGGCGGAACTGTATCTATTAACAGTTTTCTTCCAAAGAAATCATGGAGAGCACATTTTCCCTTCTCTCTAGCACTGGGTTTTGCATTGGATAACATTATAGAATGAGAAGGATGACTAACTTTTCATTTGAAAGTTAGGGCTAAAAAACCCTTTGTAAATGACTCATTTGAAAGTTAGGGCTAAAAAACCCTTTGTAAACCTTCTTCTTTTTAAGAAGCTGAGACCTGGAGAAGAATGTTTGGCTTAATCACGGTCCCAGTGGTAAAAACCTGGACTATATCCCAAGCCCCATGAGCCTCGTGCTCTCACCAGTTTGACAAAATCCAGGCCGGGCCCAGTGAAGTTTCACTGCTCACAGACCCTGGAGATGGTGCTGAATGAGATATAGTCACACCTCCTCTTATACTAAAAAAAGGAAAAGAAAAGCTTTCAGATGTTAGAGAAAATCTTCAGCCAAATAGAACCACATACCTTGAAATTGTGATAGGCAGAGGATGTGACAGAGCAAGTAGACTCGGTTCTGTCTTACTGGGCAGGGTCGTCCATCGTGAACCAAGGGCAGCTTTTCTGAGGCTCTCGCTGGAGGCTCTCATCCACTGCAGCCTTGGTCAACTGACTGGGAGAATATCTTGTGCTAGATGACAGCATGGAACGTTTCAAGAAGATGTTGAGGAATAGGAAATGCAATCAGAAGAGGAGTCTGATCCATGAGAACCAGCATCAATTTCAGCTCCACATAGTGATCATGTGAACACCTATCAATCATATGGTATTTCTGAGGCCCAACTTCCTCTTCTGTAAAATTTGAGTTAATACAAAATATTTTCCCCTTGAGATTGTAAAGATAAATTGTTGAGTGTAATAAAACTTTATCAATACTAGTTATTACTCTAACTATTCTTAAGAAAAGTGATTGCCTTTCATATTTATTTTTTAAATTTTATCTTATCTCTCTTTTCCTATCTATCTCTCACACATATAAGTATGCATTTGCTAATTTTATAAATGATTGACAATGGGTAAAAATACATATAACTATAGAGATTGAAAGTGAATTTTAATAGAAAATTAGAAAAAATAGATAATATATTTCTTAAAAATTGAGTAAATAAACAATGACCTGGCACCACATACCTATTAGAATGACTACAATTAAAACTACTGAGAGTACCAAATGCTAGTGAAACTCAGAAACTCTCCTTCATCATTGGTGGGAAAATGCAAACTGGTACAGCCACTTTGGAATCCAGTTTGGCAATTTCTCACAAAATTAAACATGGTCTTACCATATGACCAGGCAAATATGTTTCTAGGTATAAAATCTACTGATTTGGAAGCTTAAAGTTTGCACAAAAAATAACACATTTTGCAATTACAAACTTTAGATTTAATCACGATGTACTTCAGTAGTTGAGTGGATAAATACACTGTGGTACATTCATGCAATAGGATATTAATTAGCAATTAAAAGAAATGACTTATCAAACCATAAAAAGACATGAAGGAAACTTAAATGTATATTACAAATGAGAAATTCAGTCTGAAAAGGTTATATTCTGTATGATTTCAGCTATATGACATTCTGGAAAAAAGCACAACTGTGGAGCTAAGTGGTTGCCAAGGGTCGGGAGAGGAAGAAGTAAATATAGCACAGAGGATTTTTAGAACAGGGAAACTATTCTATGGGATATTGTGATGATGGAGTTACATAACAGGGGCATTTGTGGAAATCCATGCAACTCTGGAACAGAAAAGTGAACCCTTATATAAAGTATAGACTTTAGTTCATCATAATGTATCAAAATTGATTCATCCATTGTAGCAAATGTTCCCCCTCATGTGAGACGTTAACAATGGGGCAAAGAGAGGGCATATATGAGAATTCTCTGTACTCTAAGTTCAATTTTCTGTACGTTTAACTGTTCTAAAATATAAAATTTAATCTTCAAAGGTTTCCTTGCAATCATGTAACACATGGATATTATATTTTTTAGTGCATTTCAGTCAATGAATCACTAGACACTCGCACTAAAAAATTGTAGGGTTCATAGACATTAGAATGGGGACTGGGCATGAAATAATACAAGTTTGTTAATTTAATTGGCATGATATGTGGTGTTTGATCATATGAATTTTGGAGATGAAGGAACAGTAAGACTAATATTGCTTAGAAAGTTATTCAGAAGACCATGGGACAAATATTAATGAGTTTCATGTTTTCGGCATATGGTTATATTCTTTAGACATGCTGCAATCTGAGTTAGTGCATACGCAAGAAGGCATTGGTGATGTGCCATCTGTGTGTGCAAGGGGAATAAATGTCTACATTTCTCTTGCTGTGTATTCTCCCATACACCAGGAGAAAAAAAAATGTTTTAAAAGAGGGCTGCTACTGCAAGGGAAAGCCCTTTTAGAGAAAGTAGGATGACTTTCTTTTAGAAGGCGTTTTATTGTTCATCTCAAGTTCCTCACAAACTCAGCTTTAATGGGATATAAAGCCAAGCCATCCATTTGTGAGACACTCAATCATACCCGCAGGAACATCGGGTCAGAGCCCAGTGCCTCTGGGAAATTCGTAGGATTTTGAGCTTCACGTGGTCGTAAGCGGCAAGTGAAATGTGGAATTTGTGTTTATAGAATTAGTGATGACTAGAGGAGAGATAGATTTGCCTTTTAGCCCTACCAGAAACTCAAGACGCCATTTAGATGACCGTTGCCTTGGGCTGAGTCCCTCCATGAGTGAATAGGAAATACATCTCCAGATAGAGTTGTGGATTCCTTCAGAACAAAATAAACCCAGCAACAGATAAGCAGATAAGCACACAGCCCTTTCAGCTACTGGAGGAAGAATATGAGCAACATTGCTAAAGGCTTTGGTCACTATTAAGAGATTTATAATGTCACAAATACATGTGACATTATTACTACACTTCAGACTTCTGTAGTCATTGTGCAGTGCATAGAGTAGTTTTGAGTATAAATTTTTCCTAAGCAGTCAACAATTCTGAGCAAGAAATGCAAGACCATCCATGGGAGGGACGGGAGGTGGACTGGGGACCATGCAGCAGGGAGCTGGTGACCTGCCAGGACCTATCCAAGGGCTTAACAAGTAGCAGACACTCTATAATGATGCTCAGAGGAAATGTGGAAAAGTCCTCACGCAGGAGGAGGATTCAAGGAAGTGAGTAATCCTAGAACTCTTGGCAGACCAACGAACATCATGGTGCTTGCCAGTTTCAGAGGTCCCTGCTAGGTTGAGACTTTTTCTGTGGCCACATTTAGGCTCTGTGGGAAGAGTGATGTCATCTCATTAACCAGGATAGACAGAGGAAGGTTCCTAGGGATGAGCTCCAAGGCATGAGGTGCCAGGTACAAATGCCATGTATTTGTGATCTTATTGAAAACTATAACTGTAGAGCTGAGGAAACAAAAATCCAGAGAGATGTACTGGCTTACATAGCATGACCCTGTTCATGGCAGTATTGACACAGAATTCAGGTCTTCTGTTTAAACATTTGCTGAAAACCATTTCTTGCTGATAAGCAACCTCAATAACTACTAAAAAAATGAAGTAGTAATGTCATTTTTGAGACTCAGGTGCACACACATGCAAAAACATGTAAGTATTTTTAAATTTTCTGTGTTTTATAAAGCTTTTGCAGTTTTAAAAAAAAGTAAAAGTTCTGGCTAGGGAGAGACAGTCTCTCCTGAGGCTAGCTAGTTCTTTTTAAAAAATATTTTTTTAGGCTCAGGGGTACATATGCATATTCTTACATGGGTATGTTATGTGTAATGGTGATGATTGTGTTTCTCGTGTAACTGTCATCCAAGTATTAAACATTGACTCCAAAAAATCAGGGTGGATGAGGGTTGAAAGATTATCTACTGGATGACCAATTCTTAAAAATGGCAGAGGTCCCAACCTGGAGTATGCCCTTGATATGCAAACAAACCAGTTCAGAGCCATAACTCCTGTCTGGCCTGGATACCCAAGAAGACAATATTCCTCTGCCTTGATCATCCAGGGTCAGGTGCCAGGTAACTAGGGATCACCCTAGTGGTCCAAATTCAAACTGATGAATAAAATAAACTAAATTTTTTTCCTCAGTCTCTTCCATGTCTCCTTTTGTGACTATATATGAATGACCATCTCAGAAAAAATACAACACACACACATTGTAAACGATTGCCAAGAGATTAAATCCAGCAATCATTGCTGATAGAAAGCTTTAGATAATTCCCAACTACAGAAGAGTAATTCCTGAACATGATAAACTCTACCTGCTTGAAACCAAGGGAAGATCTTCACATAGTGGTGGAGTAATATAAAATAGCAAAGGTCCCAACCTAAAGCGTATCCTTGATATGCAAACTAACCAATTCAGAGCCACAGCTCCTCTATCTGGCCTAGATATCCCAGAAGATAATATTCCTCTGCATTGATCATCCAGGGTCTGGTGCCAGAAAACTGTATTATTACTGAGGTTAAAAAAAAAAAGGCCCATTTCTGCACATGTAGGTAGACATAGTTTTGGAAATTCTCAACAATATAATGCAAATGTAAACATCTCGAAACATTAGAATAAAATAAATAAAATATTTGTGTATTTGATGACCATGTAACATAAACATGGTGATCTTCAAAGTTATTTACTAATTAGAGGTTATGGGTTAACAAGATTTTAAAAAATTAATTAATTGTTAAAAACCAGCAGACTTCCAATTTGCCAGAAACAACTATTGACACATACAAACTATCATGAAACAGTAACAAATAAAATATTTCGAAATAAATTTAATGATAAATACTGTGAGAAATATACAGAGCACACACACACACTCATACACATTCATGTATATCCACACACCAGAAACAAATCAAAACTTAAAGGAAGCTGACTGAATACTTAAGTAAACCAGAGGCCTACTATATTCCTAGATTAAAAAAAAATTTTGTAAAAGTGACAATACTCTTTAAATAAATAAGGCCAATGCTATTCTAATACGAACTATAATATGTTTTTACTATTGTTTTTGAAACAAAACAATGCAGTTCTGGAATTGTTTTTCTTTCCTAAATAAATAGTTAAATGCTTATAAAATCATTTTGAAGAAGAAAGATGAAAGGCCATACACAAATAAAAACAAAGTACACGTGGAAATAATCAAATAGTGAGTTACAGTTTTAAGAATTAGAAGGATGAATAGAGTACAGTAGATAGAGTCTTTGACAAAAATGAACACTTAACATAAAAAATTGCTGCTGAAACTCATTAGGTAATGGGAGAACTTGTCAATAACTGGTATTAGGATCACTGAGTCAGAGATAATACAGTAAATCACTGCTACATCACACCCTAAAATCCAAGACTATTTAAGGAGTTAAATTTTAAAAACACAAGCAAAAACTAATTAAAGTAAATTTTTTTTATGCATTAAGATAATAGAGAATATTCTAACTATACCATCAGTGGAAGAAACTGCAGAAGTAATGTCAATGTGTTTTACTCCATAATTTAAAAAATATTTTTCCATCACCAAAAAGTCATGAACAAAATAAAATAGAAAAGAAAATACAAACACTGTTTTGAACATGGGTGGTATATACATATTCATATTTTAATGTGCAAAGTACAAGTTTAAATAAATAAGAAAAAGCAGCATTCCAAATAAAAAAGGGCAAATAAAATGGGCAATTAAAAAGCAAAAAATACCAATACATTAAAAATAATTTCAACCTCAATAGAACAACAGCAAAAACAACATTACGTTTGAGGTCAGAATCACTAAAGATGTGTTTGTATGTATCAGTGCAGGGTGTGTGTGAGGGTGTATGTGTGTTTATAGATAGATTTGCAGATGACATAAATAGATACAAGTTGATAATATAAAACCTAATTTGATATTATTTTAGAAGTGCAACTTAAAAATATAATCAAAACTTTAACAATAATCACACAAATTGATTAAATTATTCTGATTTTAAAAATTTATGAAGGAAACACTCCAAGATTCATAACCAAAATTAGGTATAAGGATGTTCATTGCAGCATAATTAATTAATTCCACAATTAAAACAATATGTATGTTAAAATGAAGCATTGGCTAAATAATGTTGAGCATTTCTACAAGGTAGAATATTGCAGGCTATAAGTGGGAGAATATTTCATATCAAGGATACTTCTTATGATGTATTTTGTGAGCAATGCAAATTGTCAAATTACATGGAAATACACAGACACACATATACATGTGTTGATTTGTAAATGTCATAAGTATTTATATGTGTATAAATCCGTGTGCCTGTTTAACGATTCTCTACTCCTTGTTTGGTTACATAAAGTGCTTGTAGTTCGCTGGTGAGACACACACACACACACACACAAACTTACACATACAAACCAATAGACATGTGCAAATGCAATTTTATAAGGATATGTTTTTGATGACTATCTCTGATATTATGAGGAAGTAAATTTTTAAGTGTTTTCATATTTTTTCTAGTGGAAGTGCATTGTCCTAATAACAATCATTAAACTACCAATAACGTAACATGCCATGTTTTAAGACGAAAGACATCAAGCTATTTTTCATTTTTCTTATGACTTTTTGCATTTGTTCTCGCATTTCTCTGTGAGAAAAGCTGCTGGTGGAAATTTATGATGAAATCCTCAGAAAATGAGAGTGTTACACTTGGAAGGCAAACAGGAGAAGCACTTTTCTCAACATTCATGTGACGTTAAGGCTCACTCTCTTCCATCCCATCCATAAGCTTCTCATTAGCTGGAACACGTCGGTCTCTTGAGAATCTCCTGAGATCCAGAGGCAGAGACCTGCTAGTTCTAGGAGCACTTCACCCCAGACCTTCTCGGAGAACCATTTAAACTCCCACCTCTTCTCACTCTGGGCGCCACCACGGCACCAGGGATCCCAAAAGCAGAGCACCTAGACTACTTCAGCATTCTTTAATGGTCTGCCGCTTTCTTCCTGCCTTTTTAATTTTTCACAACTTTTATCGCTCTTTGGTTGTTAAATATTTCCCTGTACAGTTAAGAAATAGGCACTATGACACAACTTAGAAGGCTGATGAATTTGTGTGATTTATCTCAGCAATGCAAAATGTTTTAAGGATTTCTGGGGAGGCATTTTTTTTGTTTGCTTTAAGATACTTCCTTCTGCAGAGATATATTGCAAAAATAGCTCTTAATACCTTGAAGCAATATCTTTCTTTGTCCTAACTCCATCATCAGTTGCTAAGGATACCTCTAGTTTATAATTCAGTCATGCCAACTTTATAAATCTAGATGTAAAATATCTGTGTACTGAATCTTTAGGGTTAATGTGCTGGTAACATCTGGGCATGCAGATGACCTGGATGTTGAAGGCTTTCCTTTTGTGTATGCCCATGACTGTGAATCACTTTGCACATTTTCTTCTCATAATAAACTGGATGAGAAATTAATTCTACTAAATTTAATCATTCACCTTTCTAGCAGCAGATCATCTTCTACCTTCTGGAAAGTTTCTGTTCTTTGTCCATCTCTTGTTTAGTCACACAAAGTTCTTGTAGTTTGCTGGTAAAACTTTGTCTTACTACATTATGTATAACCGTCTCCATCTTTGAACGATGCACTTTACTCCAAACGGCCATCTGGAGAGAATTCAGCTCTAAGTAAGTGAGTGATGATCTTTTTAGTTGGAATACAGTTTAGGATAAAATTGGGAATTTGGATGACTTTTGGTGAAAATAATGTATTTCTTGATGTCTGTGAATGTGAATATTGTGCTGCTTTTAATAGCCGACATTCAGATTGCATGGGTTAGAAAAAAATATGAGGAATGAGAGGCATATAGGAAAAATTATTTTAATGGTTTTTGAAAATTAAATTATTGCATTTACAGTTTGGGATTTTGTCTGAACAATACAAATCCTTGACTAAAATTAAGCAATTTAATGAATCTAGAAGCTTCTGCTATACTAGTCCAACTCTTTGTGTATTCCACTCAGACCAAATGCTGATGAGTACTTAATCTGAATTCTCATAGCATCACTTTAAATATTTGTTGCATAAAGGCAAGTATTCCACAACATTTCATGGTGGTCTGAATGAATATATATTCTCTATGTGATATAAACAAGACACATAAGTTAGATCTAAGGAAGCTGAGGCAGAGCTGTCTGCATCTTCTTAGCTGGAAGTTCCAAATGCAGGTTTAATAGAATGACTGTCCCATGCCCCCTACACTGGATGCAAGTGCACTGAGAAGTAGATTGCCTATTCAATTATCTGTGGGATTATCTGGAGTGGATGCTGCAAATCTCAGACTGCAAGTATGCTGTTGAGTGCAACAGTGCCAGGAATTTTCTTTTCTTTAAAATACCCACTTATGTGTCTGTGTGTATAATTTTAGCAAAATCATTACCCTGTATTTCTATAAATAATCTAAGCAAAACTTAGTCTTGTGAATTAGATGAGATAGGGACAATACTATTCAAAAGACACAGAAGGGCTAATTTTAAAAAATTATTCTTGATCTTAGTTTTCAATTTAAGACTGTGAAGCCGTTTTCCTGATTCTCTGCATGGTGCCTTATCCTATATTTTTGCCCTTATTTTACATATAAGGACACTGATGATTGAGGAATTGAAGACTCTTGTTATAAAATCCCAAAGTTGACATAAGGAACATTCCTACAGGCCTTGTAACTCCAAGTACAGACTCTTTGCCTAATGTCAAAAGTGCAAGCATTTTATAAATCATTTTTCCATAATGATTTTAAAGGTTATACAGACACTTGGATTCCTCAGATCCACTCCATCAGTGATTCACAAGCATTTTTTTTAGCGTCCACCACACCTAAGCATAGAATAAACTTTCATCAGACACAGTAGGTCTCTCTAGTTGTGGGGCTTATTCTGATTTCTGTGTGTGTGTGTGTGTGTGTGTGTGTGTGTGTGTGTGTGTGTGTGTGTGTGTTTTATGGTTCCTGGCAGGAGAAGTATGTGATGGATAAAATAATTTAGTTCTGAGTACATTAGCATCTTAATATCTAAGAATTTATGATTCTTATTTTAATGTGGATTTATCCTTAATAATTTCAACTTCTTCAAATACTGAGCAATATAGAAAAATAGAGAAGATTTAGGAAAATATGTTTCTATTTTTAGTTTCAAAATCACGTAACTCTGTTTACTTGACTAGAGAATCTTTCATGTGAAAAGACAACTGGAAGTTATAATGCATGTATAATGAGTCAAACGTGTGCTGTGCTGTGTATGCCATAAAAGCATATAAGTAATTTTGCCAGTGCATTCTGTACTGAAAGCAAATGAACCTAGAGAAATCTGTTGAAATTGAGATATTACATTTTCAAATGGACGTTGCAAAGACCATACTATTACTTGAAACTTGAACATTTTGAAAAAAAAGTAGATTAATGCATACAAGAATTGGGAAGCATGCCTGGCAGAGAGAAGGTTGATAGAAGACTTTGTGGTCAGATTCATGTCACAAAATGCTGAATGTCAAAAGGAGATCAAACTGCTTCTGAGCAGATCCAGAAGGCAAGGAAAAGAATTGCAGAAGATAAATGTAATCCAAGTGAGCATGGAGCTTCCTGGCAACAGGGTCGTGGCACTGAAGGAGCAAAGAGCATGCTCTTGCATCTGGCAGAAACCTCTCTAGTGGTTGCATAGAAGCAGCAAAGGCGGTAATTTCCAGCTCAGACGTTCTATTGTCACTTGATTTAAAGAATGAGCTTAGTGATCACTACAGTCCTGGGTAAGAATTGTGTCCTGACTTCAAATTGTAGTGATGGGAGAGTGCAAAATTTGCAACTATCCCTACTCAACCAAACATCTACTCCTCACAAAATAGAATATTTGCAAATTTCAGGATAAAATTAATGCATTGTTTTCTCCTGGTATGTGGTTTTACGTAATAAAAAGTAAACTTAAGAAAGACTGAAAGACAATTTTATCCAATAAGGGCATGCCTATTTTATTCAATAACTTTTTTTTCTAATATTTTCACACTTTTCAGGCTAAGCATATCTCTGCTCTTCAAAGATGCTTACATTTTCTTCAGGCTTAATTGAAATGCACACATTTTCTGAGAATTTCTATTAAATACAATTTTCTTCAAGTCAAAGGATATTTGGAGGAAAAGACAGAGGATTTAACTACTGAAATAGCTTCACCAGGAGTGCCTGAGTTTACTGACCTCTTCTGAAAACCAAGAGGTATTATAATTTAAATGCATAAATTTTAGCTTAATATGTGGATTGTTTAAATGAGAAATATGCATAACATGGGCATTTTACTTTGCATTGCGTTTTTTAACTGTAAATTTAGATTTCTTATAGATCCTTGAAGCACCCCTGAATGTTTCATTATGTCAACTAATACAAATAGATAATAAGGCTCAGAGAGTTTGGAAAGAAAATTCAGGGTCACAGAATTAATTGATATCATGGCCAGGATAACTCAGTTTATCTAATTCTAAATTTTCTTTTGTTGCATGTCTTCTATATCACTTCAGAAGCAAATTTCTGTATAAAGGCACAGAATCATTCCAGACATTTTCTGATTATTTTCATTTGTACCAAACTATAGTAAAGCAAGGTAATCTGTACCTAGTAGAATTTTAACACGTATAGCTCCTTTTCATTATGCTTCCCCTGGTGAGAGAGTACATAATAAACTTAACCAAACATAGTTCATACTGAGGGCTTGCTCTCTGACAAATTAGATTGCTTGGTTACAAACATGAAGGTAAGTTCACTCACCTGGTACATGTTTAATCATAAAACACATGAAAAATCATTTTTTGCTTTCACAAAGATGTTGGGAATTATTTTTCTTTATTGTAACCTGAAATTATATGAAACATTGACATTCAGTTTTTCTTAATTACTAAGCACTATGAAAAAATTCCAATTTTCAAAAATAATTAGATTACAAATCCATATGTATGTTCCTGTGCTATTTTTTCTATCCTAATTGCTAATGCTAATTACTAATGCTCATGCTAATCGTAATCTTAGTGTTAATGCTTCATCATCCCAGAACTGAAAATTAACAAAAATAAATACTAAAATAAATTCCTTTTGTATTAGATGATACTTTTACGTCTGAATTTGCAAGAGAAGCTTTCATTTCTCACTTTATTTTATACTATGATGAAATAAGCTTCCACTGCTTTATTTTATACTCCCGTGATGTTGACTCATGGGCCACGTGGTAGAGTCCCCATACTTGCAGCTAAATGTCAGACAGAGACTACTCATAGCCACTACCAAAATATGTCTTGAAAATGGTGGTGATGCTGACCAGACAAGAATGCATTTAATAATAATACAAATATAAATGCATCTAAGTTAGTATAAACACACACACACACACACACACACACACACACACACACACACACACATACACACTCCAAACCATGGTAAGTCTGTGCCATATAGATGATATATGTCCTTAGGTGGTGTTATGTATGTCATTGTAGTACACTAGCATCTGCTGCCATCATTTTATCCAATGCATTTAAATAATTATTGATCAATATTAATCAATTTTATTTTAAAATATTCTGGAACAGATTAATCACTAGTGCCAAGTATATTATTTTTAAATGTGTTCTTCCAACTTTTTAAAGTCTGCTGCTTAACAATTAGTTTGCATGTTGTTATTTTAATTCCCTGGGAATGTCATCTCATTTGGAAGATTCTAGGTTACACCAACACTGTCATGGAATCAATGGAGAGGTACAACACATCCTCCATGGACTTCACCTTCATGGGGCTGTTCAACAGAAAGGAAATCTCAGGTCTTCTTTTTGCCATAATCTCTATCATCTTCTTCACCTCATTGATGGCTAATGGGGTCATGATCTTCCTGATCCACACAGATTTACGCCTCCACACTCCAATGTACTTCCTCCTCAGCCACCTCTCCTTCATTGACATGATGTACATCTCCACCATTGTGCCCAAGATGCTGGTCGATTACCTACTGGGTCAAAGAACCATTTCCTTTGTGGGGTGCACAGCTCAGCACTTCCTCTACCTCACTCTTGTGGGAGCTGAATTCTTCCTACTGGGCCTCATGGCCTATGACCGCTATGTGGCCATCTGCAACCCTCTGAGATACCCTGTCCTCATGAGCCGCCGGGTCTGTTGGATGATCATCGCAGGTTCCTGGTTTGGGGGATCTTTGGATGGCTTCCTCCTAACCCCCATCACCATGAGCTTTCCCTTCTGCAATTCCCGGGAGATTAACCATTTCTTCTGTGAGGCACCCGCCGTCCTGAAGCTGGCATGTGCAGACACAGCGCTCTATGAGACAGTGATGTATGTGTGCTGTGTTTTGATGCTGCTGATTCCTTTCTCTGTGGTGATTGCTTCCTATGCTCGAATACTGACCACAGTCCACCACATGAGTTCGGCGGAGGGGAGAAAGAAGGCATTTGCCACCTGTTCTTCTCATATGACCGTGGTAACCTTGTTCTATGGGGCCGCCATGTACACCTACATGCTGCCACATTCTTATCACACACCAGCCCAGGACAAAGTCCTCTCTGTGTTTTACACCATCCTCACACCCATGCTGAATCCTCTCATCTACAGCTTGAGGAACAAGGATGTGACTGGAGCTCTGAAGAGGGCACTGGGCAGGTTCAAGTGTTCTCAAAGAGTGTCAGGAGACATCTTTTGACTTGCAGATGGTAAATGGGAGACTCTGAGGACTGTGTGGTCATGCTTTCATTGAAGAATTAAACAGGAAGGGAGAGTGAGGTATTATGGTTATATATATTGGTTTTCATCCATGATTCTTGGTTCATAACTTCCATAGCTTTTGTCATAATGCTGGGGGACTTCAAGCCTCAGAAGCAGATCTAAAAAAGCATAATATCTCTCTCTGAACTTCTCCTTCCTTCCTTTCACCTGATCCTTTTTCTCCCCAAGGCAGACCTTAGAAACTAAAAATATACTCTAATAATCTAATACTTCTCTACCTCTGCCCATAAATAAATTATTGGACCTAACATGCCTGATTATAGGTTGTAAAACTTCTGTTTCAAAAGAGGGCCTGTCCTATACACTGAAGGAAGAATTACTACACAGAAAGGCCAAGAGGAATCTAAACACACAGGCTTTGCTGGGTTTCCCCACTCAATCTACTAGTAATAGATCATACCCTTTTTGTCCAATCATACTTCTACATGGTTGTCCATGCTTCAGTCTTGTATATCCAATGAAGTCACCATAAACACCCCAGAGAACTGCACAGCTGAACTTATGGAGGCCAGAGGGTGAAAGAGAAGACACCCACATGCTGTGGTGCTCCTGTTCTCAGGACCCTTCCAAACCTCGCCCTGTAGTCTGTTCATCTGTAGTCTCTTCCTCTGGCTATTTTTTTGGTGTGTCCTTTGTAACATCCTTTATAATAAACTGATAAATGTAAGTAAGTGTTAGCTTGTATTCTGTGAGCCGCTCTAGCAAATGAATTGAACATTGTATGTCTGAAGGGGTTTTCAAATATTGGAGAAACATTAGGGGTATGGGTTGAGCAGATAGTAAAATTCTCTTTAAATATGTCATGAGAACAGCAAGGTTAAATGTATGCCAGCCAGGTAATGGGGTTAGTTCATAATTTATATCCATGTTTCTCATTAATCCAGGAATTGAGGATGAAAATCATATGGCAAATCATGTCTAGCATCCCATCTGATTTTATAAAGAGTTCACTCAGGGATTAAAGGGGTTACTTTGTTAAATCTGTAACTCACCATGTGGAATGACTATGGTCATAATCATAATCATATTGGTCAATCCCTGTCTAAAATTTAACAATTTATATGGTGTTCCAGGTTTAGCAATCTTTAACAACCTCTTAACAGATGAAGCACTTGTTGCACATTCCAATTTACAGGTAAGATCAGTGGGCAACAGGGAAGTAAAAAAAGTTCTGAAGTGTAACACTTGTAATTAGTGAACTAGATGAGGATTTCAACAAATGTGATATCTAGAACACTATAACTTTCAGATATAGCTTCACTCATTCATTCGTTCATGTATTTTTTTCATTCTTTATAGCTATGAGCAGCAAGGCAAATAAAGCACCTGACTCAAGAAACTTGCATTTCAGCAAGGAAAAAAGAAAAAGAAAATAAGCAAGCAAACAACAAAATATTTATATTCCTGCCATGCTGTGTGTGGTAGCAGTGACTAAAATTGAACATATCCATAGCCTGTGCCCCAGCAAGTACATCCTTGGGTGGAATTTTAATAGATATGTGTTATGGTTTGGAAATGGTCTGCTCATCCACACTAAAACTCAAATTGAAATTTGATCCAAATTTGGAAATGCTAGGAGATGGCCAATGTTAGGAGATGGGGCTTAGTGGAGATATTAGGGCTATGGGGTGGATCCCTTATGAATGGCTTGGAGCAATCCTTATAGTATTGTACAGTATTGAGTCCTCACTCTGGCAAGACTGGATTAGTTCTGGAGGGAATGAATTAGTTCCTGCAAGAGAGGATAGTCATAAAACCAGGTTGTATCCCAGTTTTTACCTCTCTCTTCACTGGTGTCATTTCCCCCTTTGACCTTCTCCACCATGTTTTGACCTAGCACATGGCCAAGCAGATGCTGGCACCATGTTTCTCATACTTCTTAGTCTGCAGAACTTTGAGCTAAGCAAAGCTATTTTCTTTATACATTAAGCAGCCTCAGGTATTCTGTTATATTAACACAAATGGACTAAGATAACATGTATGCATAATGTTTACCCAAAGACATATGGTAACATAAAATATGGATGCTACCAAAAACCCACTGATGATGAAGTAGATAAATACATTGTGACATATTCATGCAATAAGAATAGATATTCTAGTACTACTTCCAACAACATGAATTAATCTCAGAAACATAATATTGAACTAATGAAGTAAGCCACGAAAGAGTACATGTAGATAAAGTGCAGACTCTGTAAAACTAACCTATGCTTTTGGAGGGTTGATGGCTAGAAGGATGTGCAGGCAGATTTCTGGAGGTGCTAATGGTTTTCTGTTTCTTGATATGAATGCTTATTTTATGCTCCATGTTTAGCTTGAGAAAATTGATCAAGTTAAAACATTTTGTACAGTTAATTCTTTCTTGTATGTACAGTATTCTTCATTAAAATAGTTAAAATATAACTCAATATTATGTGGTATATACAGAAATACAATACAAAAAATACAAGCACAATGGGATAGTAGAGGTGGGTACAGGGGTTACTTTAGCTATGGTGTTCAAGAAGATTTCTGAGTCTATATTTGAGCAAAAATGGAGACAGGCATGGGAAAATCCAGGTGGACATCTTCCAGATGGGAAGAACAGCAGATCCAATGACTTGGTATGGGAAGGGTGGGTTCAGAAGGTTGGACAGTGATGCTGATACAAAAATGAAGGATGGGTAGAGAAGATGAATCTGAAAACTTGGGCAAGGACCAGATCAGGGAGGGTCTTATGATCTTTGATACAGAAGTTGGAACTTTATTTAAATTGTGAAGAAAAAACATTGAGGGATTTTAAGGAAAGACAGATCATGACTAATAAGCTAAAATTGTTCCTCTAGCTCTTATAAATAATGGACTTTAGGGAAAAACATTAAAGCAGGAAAGCATCTTAGGAGGTTTTCCGTGTGCTCTGAAGAGAAACACTTCTATCATGGGTTAGAGTTTTGTGTAGTTTCTTGGCATACTGGCTATTTTAAGTTAAAGAAAATTTAGGAAACTGTGGAGGCAGCAAGGTCATTTTCTGACATTTTCCTGCCTTTCTCTCCCAAGAGCTGTCCATACAAGAATTCTCTGACCTACTCCCCTGAAAGAAGGTCATAAGTCCTTTATTCCACCCAAGAATCCCAGTTACTTACATCACAAATATATCTTAACTTAGTGAAGGTATCATTCAAAAGAATATCAAAATTATTTTTGAAGTTCAAAAGAACAGAAATCATTAACTCAAACACACACTTGTAGCGCAATGTTCATTAGCAGTATTATTCATAATAGTCCAAAGGTTGTGTCCATCAACAGATAGATGAATAAGCAAAATATGTTATATACTAGCAGTGTGATATTATTCAGCTTATAAGAAGGCTGAAGTTCCATTACATGCCACAACATGGATGACTCTTGAAACACTATACTAAGTGAAATAAGCATAAAGACAAATATTGTATTATTCCACTTGTATGAGGCACCTAGAATAGGCACATTCATAGAGACAGAAAGTAGAATAGAGGTTACCAGGGACCAGGAAGAGGGGAAATAGAGAATTAGAGTTTAATGAACACAGAGGTTTTGTTTTGGATGATGAAAAAGTCCTAAAGATAGAGAGTGATGATGATTATGTTGACCTAAAGGAAGAAACCAAGACAAAATTAAAATAAGTAGAGAGTTTATTTGGACCAAGTATGAGGACTGCAATTTGGGAGACAGGGATTCAAGTTGTTTTGAATACATGCTTCAACTAACAGAAGCTCTTAAAGGAAAAAAGAAGGGGATGTTCTTAAATTGACATAAGCTATTGATTAGCTACTCGTTGTTCTTTATATCATAAATCCCGGAACATGAAGATAATGAATGAGGGTCACATAATGAAACTTGTGTGT